GAGATCGCTGCTGCTGCTGCTGCTGCTGCTGCTGCTACGATCGCGCGCGCAACTCGCAACTCACCTTTGTCCATGTGTACACACAATCGCACGAGAACAAGAAGAAGACACTTCCCGGCCGCCGCATCCCATCAACTTAGGNCCCTCGAGATTGCTGCTACTGCTGCTGCTGCTGCTGCTCCTGCTGCTACGATCGCGCGCGCAACTCGCAACTCAACTTTGTCCATGTGTACACACAATCGCAAGAGAACAAGAAGAAGACACGCCCGGCCGCCGCATCCCATCAACTTAGTTAGGCTCAACACCGCCATACTCCCACATGCGGGACGCAGCCAAGCAGTTGTAGCACGTCCTTTGATTGTCCCTTGATGAATAGCTTACCAGCGTACGTACGTGGTACCAGGCATGTAGCACGGATAGGTGACTGGTTTGATCCGCATTTCAAAAATCAAAAATCGCGCGCGCCCTCCTGTTGAGTGAGACACACATATTGCACATCCACATCATCTGCCACGCACCATGGGTTTCGTTACACCCCCCCGGTTGCTGCCATCTGCTATCTTATTAGCATGCAGCAGTGTTGTTCGGCCATCATGCGCAGCTGTGAAAAAATAACCAAGAGCGTCTCAAATCTTTGCGCATGTCTCCGCGTCCTGTTTTTTTTCCCCGGCGCTTTATCATGTTTGTCGCAGGGCTCAAGTTTCAATGCTGGCAGGTTAGAGGTCGCAAGGAAACGGTGCCGCAGGAGTGGCTGAAGGCCGACAAGGAGATACGGGGCGAAGCTCCGTGGAACATCATGTTCGAGGGAATCAGTGACACTGCGATCATCTCCAAATTCACCTCCATGGTTTCCGAGAAGACTGGAGCAGAGAAAAAGGCCGCGGCCACGACCGGCGGGGGGGAAGACGGCTCGGAAAACCTTGGCGAAGATGAGATTAAACTGGTGAGAGGCGTGAGCGATAGGACAACCTCGTGATGCCTATTGTACCAACAGCGAATGCCCTGAGTGGAATTTCTACGTCGGTACAGCAAGCCCCCCTCCCCCCCCACGCTCACACCACCAACCCGCGGACATGTGTTCGTCGCTATCATTGGCGCCTCGAAAGTCCTGTAAGATTGGTTGACTTCGATTGTGCTCCCCGCCCCCACAATGCCCTGTCGCGGGAAGGCCAAGAAGAGCATGGGTTGGCAACAAGTTTCGATCTCGTTCGGGTGCACGATGATATATGTAAACAACAGGACGGCAAGTGCTAGAGCACACCTACGTCGTGACGTGTTGGCGTTGTCTGCACCGGCGGCGCCCGAAACCATTCCGAGACTCAGACAGGACCGTTCGCAGACAACACAAGCGAGTTTAGCCAGATTGTTTTTTTCCCGTGACGGTTCGTGTTTGAGTGATGGCATTTACATTCGAGAATTGGCTTATCCGCATGTTGGAGCAGTACACTTCAGGTATGAGAAGGGTTGGTGATTACCGTCGTCCGGCCTACACGTCGCGATGCCTGTGTCTTGGCGCTCATGCAGGAAAAAGTGCTGGTGCGATCGTGGACGCGAAAGCTGGATTGACGGCTGAGAAGAGGATTGAGAAAGAGGAGCTCGCCAACATCAGGGCGGCGGGCCTCGCGGAGAAGCAGAACGCCGAAAGGCGTTGCGCACCAGGGGCCGGCTCGACATCATTCGGGGCGGCCCACGCCAGCGACGAACGCGCGCGTGCCAAAGTTCTTCAACGCGAGCTCTCAACGGCGGGTAGCCAGCGGGCAAGCGAGGGGGGGGCTGCAAGGAAGTTGCCCCCGCTCGGCGCGGACATCCAAAAGAAGCTCAGCGCGCAAAATGAGGTTGATCTGGCCTACATCACAGGAGCGACGACGGAGCAGGTGGACCTCGTCCTCACCAAGGGATTTACTCAAGAACAACTTCCTTTGGAGACCGCGGTCTGTATCCTCGAGCAGGCGGTCGGTAACAGGCTGCGAGCCCCATGGGGAAACCTATCGCTGTAGGATTTCATTCAGCGTTGTTAAGGGAGCGGGCTTCGAAATCAGTGGTTTTGACGCGTATATGGTGAAGGAGTTGTGTGATAAGTACGGCGCCGACTATTAGTTGTTCATGGCATGTGACCGCGTCTCTGTGTACACCGACGGGTGAACAGTAGGGGATCCTGGGTGTCCAACGGAGGAGGAGTTAGACGCGCTATCTGAGAAGGTGGCCACCCTGCTTGTGTACGGCACCGTGAAACCCAACAATGGCACCTCACCGGAGCATCCAAGCAGCGCCAGCAGCAGCGGCAGCAGTGACGTGTTTGACTTGTCGGGCGATGGACAAGCCGGCGGAGGTGGGAAGCGTGCCCCGAAGAGCAGCAGGAAGACACGGAACACGACCAACCGTGCGAGCGAGGATGGCCTTCTGCAGTAAGTATG